CAAAATATATGGATATATATATGATATATTATTATTTAAATAATAAATAATTTTATTGTTTTGAGCTAAAACTTGTCAACATGATCAAACAAAGAGGTTATTCACATTCAACTCAGTTATAGTTTATGCTTGAAAAATCCACTTGTGTTTGGCTAGCTTACTTAATTAACGATTCAAATAAGAGCTACTTAATAAGTCTAACATGAGCCATTTGGAAATAATGAGTTCTTTTAACAAAGGCATTGACCTATTTTTCAACCCAATTGAATCCACATGACCCATATTGGCTCAAACTTGTTTTGGTGTCAATCCAATCGACCCCAAATTTAACTAAAAACATTGAGATTAATCTAGACTGAATTCAACCCATTAGGCTAGCTCAATGTGTAACCATTTGCACCGATTTGACCAGCCTAAGCCCGAGGGTACCAAATTGAGTTAACTTATCTAGCCATTACCAAAATTACTCACATCACTAGCTCCCCCAGGCCACCTTGGGTCTGTCAAACCTAAGGTAACCAAAACCTAAGGTCGAGCCTTCCTCCCTTGACTCAACCAAATGGAGGAAGTCCCCCAATCTATCCTACCGACATTCTTTAAATGTCATTGGCAAGCTACCCACGATCACAAAAGAGGAGCCTTTGCATAGAACTCCTCACAAAAAAAAAAAATATTATCTTCACATGTGCTCCTCACCTTCCCCGAAGTATTTTGAAAATCCCCAAAATCTTTCCCCTTTCACTAGCGAGTATCTCCATGGTGTTTAATTGAGTCACCTGAACGAGCTTCCCTGGACTTACAATATAAAGAGTAGTTATATATGGAAATGAGGCAAATGTCTGTAGACCAAAATCCCAAAGCTGAATAAAATATACATGGATATTTCTCATTCACGAGCACAAGTTTCATTCATTTTTATACTCTATGAATGTAACATGGACAAATGACAAATCCATCATATCATAAAACTTATAGGAGTTTCTATTATTTTTTGGGAAAGAAATGTTTATAAAATATTGTGCAAATAAAAAAAGCAAAAAGGACATGTACTATTCCTTGGCTAGAGGTTAAGGAAAAAATTAGAGCCACCTATTCCGGTTGGTTAAGAGCGATTTACCTTAATTAAGTATTTTAGTGAACTGTTAAACCTAGATTGTTAGTTTATTTAATGCTATTTCAAAGGGGAGGAGGACCAACAAGCACATGGTTTACCGTTTACATATATAATGTAGGAAAGCCATCTCAAATTTTAATAATAGTTCAAATCATTTAGGAAGTACTTAAATATATACACTGATGAGTACTTTATGTTTTAAATATAGTGCTATTATTGAGTGTATGCGATGCAATACATTATATATTCATTTGTTATTTTTCTTAAGTATCATCTAATCATTTATAATTTTATAGAGATTTTTTAAATACAAACTTGTTTAATAACAATATAGATTCATGCATGCATTTTAAAACAAACTGAATTATTCTATATGCATGTTTGTTTATACTCATCAATTTTTTTGATTAATTTTCTGTGGAGTTTCTATATTTTTTATAAATATATATTTTTTAATTAACAAATTTATTGAAATGTCTTATGTAATTGGGCTATACTCGACTGTATTATGATTATTTGTTAGCTCCTTGTTATTTAGCAGGCCTTAGATTACACTTGATTGCGGTGTGACTATTGAATTAATATGTTACATGTTATTCCAGTTGGATTGTGCTTTGCTCTATTATAGCTATTGAATTATTGTTTATTACTGTATAACAACTATATTAGTTCTATCGCGCGGTAACTTTTGGATTATATTCTAATATGTCTATCTTACAATCTATCTAGTAATAGATGTTTAATTCCACCTTGCAATATCATACACGTTCAAACTAGTTTGAACCTCGATCAAATTAACTTCAAATCTCAATTGAATAGGCTTCAAACCTTATTAGAGCCCTGTTCAAACCCTGTTATAATAATGTTCATACTTGTGTTGTTCGTGATAGACTTTAAATAAATAGTTTCCACTGAAAAAATGAATTATTTTTGTTTAAAATTAAATTGAGTATGTTTTAAAAAAAGATACCATGCTAACATATTTATATGTTTCAAATTATTACCAAGCACAAAAGGTAATAAAAATTCTTTTAATTAGTAAACAAGATAATTATAGGCTTACCAAATAAAATGCACACATAATGTATGACAATTTTTATTTTTTTCAAAAAATTATAAGTGATAAACCATAATTTTTACAATTTCAATTCATAATCTTGAAATACAACCATTTTATTAATCAACGAGCAACCAACTCTTTCACTAGAATTCTCATTTTATTACTCAATCCAAATTTGACATCCATAAATATGTGATAATGAACATTGATAATAAAAAGGGCGGCATTCATGCTGTTCCTTATCAAGTCATGCAAATAAAATCATGCAGTTTTGAAAAAAAATTACTATAATAATTAAATATTTTATATTTATATATACATCACTTTGGTGCCATAAATTTATCCTCGATGATATAAATTTCATTTTTAAAATTTAAATATAATTATATTTTTGATGTGATATTAAAAATTTGAATGCCATATAAATATAAAAATTTAGTTATTATATATGTATATATATAAAAAACCTGAAATATAGATGTGAGGGTATGATAAATATTTTAAAAAGAGAAAAATTTAAGGTATTTACACATGCATACATACATACATATATGTATATCTCTCTCTATACATATGTATGTATGTATGTATGTATGTATGTATGACATACATATATATATATATATA